ACGTCCCTCCGGCAGCCTTTTCTTCCCCGCAAGCCGCTGTTGCGGCCGCCGCCGCCGCTTCTTCGTTCCGCTGCTCCTCTGCGGGTGGAGCGGCAGTGCCCGTTTGAGGCGCGCCCGCATCTTCCCCGGCAGCTTCTTCCCCGGACATGGCAGCTTCTTCGGCGCTAGCAGCTGTGGTGTGTCTACACGAGGAAGAGGAGAAGGAGAAGAAGGCGCGGCGGACCAGATGCGCTAAACAGCTGGAGGAGGCTGCCTGCAAAAACTGGAGTTGGAATTTAGCGCTGGCTGGATCCCACCTCCTATGCTGGGGTGGAAAACGCGGAATGGAAAGCGGAGCCCGTGGCTCCAGCTAGCGAGACCTGCCCGCCTGACTTTTCGTCAGTGGATCCAATACGCCCACCCTCTCCTTGTTCAGGAAGCGAGGCGGAGACTGGAATACGGCTGGGTGTGCCCGGCAGAGACAAAGTAAAGCGCATGCTTGTTTTCTCGAAAGTCCCCCTGATCTCAACAAGGCTCATTCTCAAGTAAAATCGCACGTAGCATCGCAGATGTACAACCCGATTTAATGCGTGTGTTTTTAGAACGAAACCCTCTGTGTTGAACGGGTCTAACTTCCTAGCAAATACGCATAAAATGGCAACCCGCCATTATGCGCGTCTCCTGAGCTCAGCGAGTTTATTCTCCCAAGGAAGCATGCATAGAATATTAAGCCTCGCACTCGCTCTCTCATCTTCCAGCATCTTCTCTGTTATGGTAGTAATTTATCACTATTCACACATGCTTTCCTTCTTGCTCTTTTTCTCTGATTACATCACTCTAAGACCACCATCATTACTTCATAAGTTTTCTTTCTTATTTTTTCAGAACAGATCAGGAGCACAGCAAGCTGTGTTTTATACTGGGTCTGATACGTGTAAACTAGTATTGTTGCTGTCCAGGGGTTCAGATACAAGTTTTACCAGCCCAGCTTGAATCTGCGGCTACATAAAAAGCATGAACCTTGTAGTGGCTGAGTTCATGAATCATATGGTTTATTATAATCATGATTTGTTCAGCAAGCCATAGAAATGTGGTTCATACATGAAAACGAAGTCATAAACAATGGTTTACTTGGTATGACAAACTGCAGCTAACTATGACATGCAAAGCTACATGAGGCCATACTTGTCTGAGTTCACACATAACATTATGCCATAACCAATCAGCCGCTGAGTCAGGCCACTAGTCCGTCTACCACTACCAGGTCAACTCGTACCTTTTCAGGTACTTAGGACTGAGTATTCCCAGCCTCACCTGAAAACACTAAGAATTGCCACTAGAGCTTTCTGCATGCAGAGAAAGGCTGTACAATTGCCCTTCCTGAACACTTCTAATCTCGTCACTGTAACGTCCTTCCCAGAAGTGTCCAGAGGATTTGATCAAAATCCTTCAATCAAAATGTAGACAGTAGAGCTGGTTGAAATTTAGGAAAAATTAAAGTGATTTTGTTGTGACAATATCCTACAGAATACACTGCAGATAAAAAGACATGGATAATGGTGTCCTGAAGCAGAGGATAAAACTTTCCACAGAGATGGTCGTGTAGTAAAATAGTTAAGAATAAGACAATGCAATATTTTAACTAGGGCTACAAATCTGGGTTGCAGAAATCCAGATCATACTTTAAATATACCTCTATCTCTTTCCTGCCATCTAGTGCTCATCTCGATTTGTGGAGTCCTTGGGGTTCTCTGAGCTAGCACTGAAGATGTTACCTAGCCGGGTAACGAAACATTTGTAAGAAAACAACCAAGCTCAGAGAACCTCAAGGACTCCACAGTTCAACCCTGAGCTACACATATTCACTTTTATTGGTATCATCTAGATTTATACAATCTGGATTTAGCAGTCTTATTGCAAAAGAATTAACATCTCTAACCCAGCTAGATTATATACCAAGATATTCAAGGAGATCACAGATTTTAGAATGTCTGAATTCTTCAAACATTCTTGGAGAACAGGTAAAGTGCCAGAAGAATAAAAACAGGGAAACATTGTGAATTTTGTAACCTTCACATCAGTACTTGGCAGGTCTAAATTACAGTATTAAGTAGGGCTGTATGGTGCTTCAGATTCTATTTATGCAGAGGTACAAAATCCTCAGAGCAACTGCGAGTTTTACTAAGATTAGGCAACTGCATTAAAGACTTGCAGACAAGTATTATGTTCACACCCCCGAGGTGCCCTATTATTAAGCAATTAATTGGTGAGTATCTAGAGCTGATAATGAAGAGCCAGCCTAAGTTTATCACAAACACGACTGGATTCATGCAAGCAATGTACAAAGGCATGGATTGTTTATCACAATTAGCTGGGTTTGCACAATTTACTAAGCTAAAACCAGACAAACCACATTATGATTTAGTGCAAGATGTGTGAAGCCAGTCTATATCTGAAGATTAGCACTGGCTTTACTGTCCTTGAAACCCGAATGGTACTTGTCCTCCCATCTTCCACCACACCCTATTTGTTCTTTATACAGAGAACATGCCATTAGCAAGCAAGAAAATCTTACAATTCATAGGGCCATTTGTCACATAGGATTGTCAAACTATAATTTCTAGGAATTCCTGTACAAACACTTTGGGTCTCTGTTTTAAAGAACAGAGGGAAGCTAACAAAAAAACCAACAACAGCTATATAAATACTCAGAAATGCATTTGGACAAACATCTTCATGAATTGTGTTTCCTTATACAGTATTGGGTTTGCACCTCAGGTTGGCTCTCTGGACCTCCAAGCCAATGTAATGTCTCCTTCCTCATACCCATCCATGCAATTTGCTAATAAGGGAGATAAAACCCAGACATGTATAACATAAATAGGGGGGTTCTAAATAGGGGACCCATAATGTTGTTTCAACTTTGCTCTTTTGGGTTTCCAGGTGCTTCATCCTAGTAAGCAGCTTGAGGCTCTTTAAGATTCTGCATGTCTGTGAGGATACAGCACAGCTTTCCTCCCAGTGATGCACAAAACTGGCTTTTTTCTGAACAGCTTTCTAAAATAGAGGAGTGTCACAGAGAGAGAGAGAAAGAGAGAGAGATTTGTTTGCAAACGCTGTGTACTATCGCCATGTGGAGCTTGCAGATTTTATGGGTTAATTTACTAAATACTTCCCTCAGGGTGCCGATGGAGACATCTGTGGTGATAAACCAGACTTGCAAAATGTAAGGCCTGTTCCACAGGGAATTATGAGCTGGACCAAGGGAGGCCTTGAGGAGATGCTCTTTGCACAGATGATCCACCTGGACTGGCCCAGTGGTGCTACCGAGTTTGGCTGCGCCTTGAGTTTCCCAGGGGCCCGGTCACATGACCTAACTGTGACCCAAACTTTTTGAAAGATTTGTCATAAGTCACCATAAATGAGAAGCTAGATATACATCTGAATATATTAATAGCATCTTGTTTCCTGCACTTTCCAGTCTAATGTTTTACCTAGCTCAAACCCTTTTTAAGGATTTCCAAACAGGGTCAGTGAGATGACTTGCACAGATAAAACAGTTACAACAAAGTGCAATGTTGTGGCTCTTACAGACACTGGATCTTCAACAGCTACACTACAGAGCAATCATAAAGTGCCTAATGATTGTACAGAAACAGGAATAAACCTTACAGCAGAGATAATTTCTGTCTCTCTATTTCAGCCTCCATATCTACTGGACTTAATAATCTTACCCACTGTATCAGGAAAACAAAGACTTCCTCATTTCCAATATAACGGTGGTAGTAGCAGTAGTAGTACTGGTAAGCTTAAGTGGACTGGCTGGGATCTGTCTCAGTGAGACACAATTCTATCTGAAGAAGTGAAATCCTCCCAGGGATGTATCACTGCAGCTCTACAAAGGCTGACCTGGGGCCAATATGCCTTCTTAAGGTACTTTGCTTCAATGTCAGGGGCTCACACGTACAGTATAGAAAGGGGCAGGGCTTCAATCCCATGGCCATGGCCACCATCTTGATTTTTATGACCTCCCCCTTTCAGGCTCAAATTATCCTACTCTGGACACATTACGTGAAGATCTAGGTCTCTGAAAAAGGATCTAACGCTGGGAAAGGTAGAAGGAAAAAGAAGAAGAGGATAACCAGCAGCAAGGGGGATGGACTCAGTTAAAGTGGTGATGAGTGCACCATTGGGAGACTTGAAAGACCAGGCTAAGGATAGATTGTCTTGGAGAAAACCTTAGCTACGTGGTCGCTAGGAGTCAAAAACAACTTGATGGTTCATCATCATCATCATCATCATCATGATCATCATCATCATTTCAGATGACCTTGCAGGGACTTCTGCATGCAGGTTGCATGAGTGCAGATCATCCTATTAGCTGGTGGGCACAGCTGCTTGGCTTTTGGCATGCTTTGTCAGGTCATAGTTTTGCTCCAGAGGTGCTTTGTCTGAGCCACAGAGCATGAAGACATGCACAGACCTGGCCCCTGTATTTTATATGAGGCACATTGGCTGTGCGAAAGAGTGAGTGGAGGCAAGTTTGATATCAGAAATGCTAACATTCTAACAAAAATAAAATAAAGTAAAATCTTCAGGATATTCAGTCAACGATCCTCAAAGCAGCCATTCTTGAACAAAGGAATAACAAAGTCTTTTTTGCAAAAATAACTGCATTAGCAGATTTAATATCATTTCTTGTGCACTGAACAACCTCACAGTACCCAACTCCACGTGTAAATTCGTTCACTGATACAAGAGTACCTGTGCCACACTCAGGAAAAAACTTGATATGTGAAATCTTAAACCATTATGTATTTTATAGTCTTCATGATGTCACAAGCGCCTGTCATTTTTGCAGCAACATCTCTGGAATTAACTTTCTGGAACAGCCTTTCTTGATACCTTTATCACTTCTATAAAAAGTGAAAAAAAGAAGGGCCATGGGCTACCACGAGACAAAATCCTAACAGGCAAGCAGAGGCAAGAAAATCTCATGCAGGCAACCAGAACAGCTACAGCAACTAGTACACTGAAGATTCTTGTGGTACACTAAAAGTGGCCATTTCCATATTAGTGATTTATCCCAATGCATAATATCACCCAACCATTGCTGTGCTGATCTAAGAGTAATAAAGACAATATTTATATCGCCCTAGAGATGTCTGGGTGACACTATAAATCACTGGTGAGGAAACAGCTGAACATATTGATTAATTTGTGACAGTCTCTTGTCCGAATCTCCTTTTGGTATTTCTTAATTCTTAGAATATCCACTGTGGAAGTAACTAAGGGATTGTTCTAGGATACTGAATTGTTCCTTTCTAGTTTTTGAGAGTTGCCATTTTAGGTCAGATTCAGATTATTTTGTTCTGCTATTTGCCAATACAGAGAAACTATGCTGGCAGGTGATGGCA